TGCCATCTCAGGTCAGCGCTGCAGCTGAGCATCAGTGAATAAAGCGGATGCCGATGGCTGCAAAATCTCAGAGCTCCGGTTTTAGGCTCTTTGCAAACTCAGGGGAGGTTTTTTCCTGTGCTTCCTACCCGTTGCCGCACTGAGGGTTTTCTTGCAGATTGCAAAGGTTAGGGGAGTTTGAGCAGGATCTTGGTGAGGAGCTGGGGCAGGACGGCGGATACTTGAGCTCCACCTGATGTCGGTGGGGAAAGGCTTGAGCTGATTTCTCTTCCAGCGGTGCCCGTCTTGCCTGGAAAAACTGCGCTCCCGGTGCAAGCACCTCTGCGAGGTTTGTGACATGGGACAGGAGGCAACTGGGCTTTCCTGCTGCAGAAAGGCCACTTGGGTTTAGAAAATTCATATATCTGCTTGTGCCCCTGCTTATGCATGTCTCGGACCTTGCTAACGCGGCGTTGGAGGAAGGAATTAGGATGCTGGTCGTGCTGTAGTGAATTCGGTGCGTTGCTTTTCCCTGCCGGCTTCCCGGCCAGGCTCTCGCCTGCCCCTCTCCTTTCCGAAGCCCCCGTGGAGGTGGGTTTAATGCTAAAAGACCCGAACGGCACGTGAGGAAGCGACGCGTCGGCTCGAGCGCAGAGCGGCACGGGGCGGATCACAGGCAGAGCGGCTGAACCTCGAAAGCAGGTCGCACCGGCGGCGGACGGGGCCCTGGCGCTCCCGGGTTTTGCTGCGAGGAGAGCGAACTGCTGCGGCCCCTCGAGCAGGTACCTCCTTTTGGGGGGCTTTTGCTTTCTTGTCCGTGAAGGGAACGTAGGGATGATGTTTCTGCCTCGCAGAGATGCTGGCAAATTGAAAGCCTATCAATTTATAAGGGAAAAACGAGCAATTTCAGCTACAACTTTTCTCCGAGTCCCCCTGGCAACGTTTGTGTCTTAGCAACCACATTTTCCTATTAAAAAATGTTTAAAACATTAAAAAACAACAACAACAACACATTAAGCACAGGATTAAGTGCTTTCCTGAATCAAAGCCTAACTAGATAAATGAAAAGCTGTTAATTGAATCAGGGATGCACTGTGTTTTCAGCCCCCCAATTTGCATAACATTTGCATGCGATTGAAAAGCCATCGTTAATGTTGTTTAGTTCTAGCAGGTCCCCCAATGTCTCTGGCTTGGGCCAGACGCGTTGGAAGCCGTCCTTCTCCGGCCCCGAGGAGTTCCATAAATTGCTTCTTCCGGCCTCGATGGGAAATGGCCCAAATTGGCTCGTTGGTCGGGGCTGGGGATTGCCCAGAGCTTGGCTACTCTGGCCGCGGCGCTTGGCTCGCTCAGCTTCCCCCTTGCCCCTAGTCACCTCTGCTTGGGGAAATCCGTGGCGGGGGACGGAGAAGGTCCTGTGCTCTAGGAGGGGTCGGGCGTAAGATGCCGTAGCTACGTCCTGCATGCGCTGCTAGAAGAAAGCATTTGGCATCGGCACAGCGCCAGCTTGTCCGGAGACGGTGATGCCCCGTTACGGCCACCCTAACGCAGAGCGAAGGGAAGGAAAACCCCAGCAGCTCCTGCGTGATGCTCAGGGCTGAGCCTTTCTCCAGCGAACGTGGCACTCGGTGCGCTGCGCTTCAGCTAAACCAGCCGCTCGCCGGAGGCTAAGTAGAAACCGAGCTGCCTGGCCAAAATGTGGCCCCGGGGCTCGGAG